CACTCAGTCTGATTTCAAACTGTATCACAAAGCTAGACTAAGCAAAACGGTATGGTATCCGCATAAAAACAGACATTTGACAGCCGCATGCGAACGAATGAAACTGGACCACTGCACAGCATACCCAAAAAGTACCTCAAAATGGATTAAAGACTTGAATGTAAGACCTGAAACCATAAAAGTCTTAGAAGAAAACAAGGAGGTCAGTTCCTTGCCACAGGTCTTGGCAATGATCTATAGAATCAGACACCAAAAGCAATGGCAAAAAAAAAAAGCAAAAACAAACGCAGACTCCTAGATTGGTGGTTGCCAGAGGTAAAGGGGGAAGAGGGTGAACAGGTGAAGGAGGATCAAGAAATACAAACCTCCACTTAAAGAAGTCAGGAGAGGTAAGGTACAGCATGAGGGATACAGTCAGTAATAGCGTATTAACTTTGTGTGCTGTTGTATCCCTGGGCTTACTGGGGTGACGGTTTTGCAATGTACACAAATACTGAATCACTGTCTGTCGTCCACCTGAAACTAATATTGTACGTGAACTACACCTCGATTAAAAAAATAAACAAGTGGACTGCATTAAACTAAAAGGCTTCTGCACAAAGAAAATCAACAAAAAAAGGCAACTCCCTGAATGGGAGAAAATTTTTGCTTACAAATCATGTATCTCATTAAGGGGCTAATATCCACAATCTATTAGGAACTCCTACAACTCAATAACCAAAAAAAAGTGAATCTGATTAAACACTAGGCAGGAGGTCTGAACAGACGTTTTTCCAAAGACAGCATACAGATGGCCAACAGGTACTCGAAAAGATCCTCATCATCATGAACTGTCAGGGGAATGCAAATCAAAACCACCATGAGAGTTCACCTCACACCTGTGAGAACTTTTATCAAAACATAAGAAATATGTTTTGCCCCGGTGGCACAGCGGTTTAGCCCTGCCTGCAGCCCGGGGTCTGATCCTGGAGACCCAGGATCGAGTCCCCTGTCGGGCTCCCTGCATGGAGCCTGCTTCTCCCTCTGCCTGTGTCTCGGCCTCTCAGTCTCTCTCTCTCTCTCTGAATAAATAAATTAAAAATCTTTAAAAAAAAAAAAAAGAAAACATAAGAAATAACAAGGATTTGGGAGGATGTGGAGAAAAGGGAACCCTCGTGCACTGTGGGTGGGAATGTAAATCGGTGCAGCCACTATGGAAAGCCGTGTGGAGGTGCCTCAAAAAATTAAAAATAGAAAGACCCTACGGTCCAGCAATTCCACATCTGGGGATTTATCTGAACAAAACAAAAACACTAACTTGAAATGATATCTGAGCCCTCATGTGCACTGCAGCATTATTTACAATAACCAAGATATGGAAGCGAACTAAGGGTCCATCACTGGATAAATGGATAAAGAAACAGATACACACATAGGAGTATTATTCAGCAACTGAAAGGAATGAAATCTTGCCATTTGCTATAACATGGATGGACCTGGAGGGAATATGCTTAAGTAAAATAAGTCAGAGAAAGACAAATACCAGATCTTCTCTCCCATATGTGGAATCTTAAATAAGCTCATAGAAAGAATGGATTGGTGGGGATGGGGGGAATGGGTGAACTAGATTTGTTTGAATAAAGAATAAAATATTAGACAAAGACTGGGTTTTCATCGTTGAGCAGTTTTTCAGTTGTTCAACTTCGCATTACCAAATTGACCTAAAATCATTCAAAATAGTCTCTGAAAGGAGTAATATGATCTGTATGAGTAGATATTCCTAATCTCCCTCCAGTGTTCTTTTATGGGGTGATCCTGAATCCCTAAAGACCACTTTATCCACAATTACAGAATCGGTGATAAAAGAACCTGTGGTGATCTGAAACAATTCTAAATTTATAGTGGAAATGAGGCAAATAGAAATGGAATTATTTTTATATTATCTCCAACCCTAAATATACGGCAATGTGTGTTCCTAAAAATAAATATGCAGGCAAATAATTCATCCCTTTGCAGCACCTAATGGGGAATTTGCCATGTATTTTAAAAATGCATGAAGCCAAAATGTAGCTCTTATGTACCTTTAAGCTTAACTTAGAAAGATGAACAGTCTGAAAAACATTTAAAATTGTTTAATTAAAATTCCTTTTCCATGTTTACTGAGATTTAATTGACATACCACAACCTGCATATATTTGAAATGCACAAGTGGATGAGTTCTAGCCTACATACACCCATAAAACCATCACTGCAGTCAAGGTGAGAGGCATTTCTCCCAAGCCCAAGAACTTTCTTGAAGCCCTTTATAATCTATCCCTCACTCTACTGCAGTTGCAAAGCCCACTGATCTGCTCTGTGTCATTCAGGCTTTCTAAAATTGTATATGTTTCTGAAAGATTATATAAAACAAATTTTCTAAAGGTGGTACTACTCGAAACTCATCGCTTATTCCATGACATTTTGCTGTTGTTTATGATCCTGAGGTTATTTTTACCTATTAGCTCTGTAAGAAGGAAAAAGGATATAATGGGGTACTATAGTACATCTCTCCCCAACTCTATTCAGAAAGGTCATGTTGGTAGATTAAAGTCAGCCTTGGTAGAAGGAATTACCCCCGAAGTCCCAAGGGCTAAGCATCAGGATTTTTTTTTCCTTGAAAAATCAATTGTTAAATGCCACTGGGTATACACAGGTGAGACTTGGGAAAAATTATGTTACTTATTCCCACATCCCCTCCCCCAAGGAGGTTTCTTTGTTATGCAGAATGACGAGCCAGATGATGCAAATGTAAGGGAGTGGAGACAGAGCTGAAATGCTTTGCATGAGAAAGAGAGAATTCAAGAAGAGGAAGAGGAGGTCTGGAACCTGGGAGCTCGGGAAGTAAGAGATGCTGTGGAGTGGGAGGAGAAAGAAGCCCTGGAGGCAAAATCTGGAGGCATTTAAGGAAGCTGTACACAATCTGAACGCTCCCCTCTGAAATCTTCAATAAAATCTATACTCTTACCGGCGCTTTCTAGGGCGAGTGGAATCCTTCCGAGGAAGGCCAAGAGGTGCCAAGTCCTGCCTCCCAGTGGGTGAAGGGACGGGACAGAGTGAGCCACAGCCAAGGTTAGGTTGCTCCAGGTAAAGAGAGTGAGGAGGTTTATCCACAGGGCCAAGTGGGTAAGTGGTGAGTTCATGGTGTCCCTTTGCAGCATCTAATGGGGAACTTGTCATGGGGCACTTGCTCAAGGAATACTGGCTGAAAGGTTCTCTTGGCTGCCTCATCCCTCCTCCCACACAGGCCTCCTGGGTTTTTGGCGAAGGTTTCCCTAACATTTATGGTGCACAGCTGCCTGGCTCTTCCTGGCTCCCCACAGACTCCACCTCCCCACCCCCACTGCCGAAGACGTCCCAACCGGCCAGCCCTGCTCACCCTTCCCAGACTTCAGGCCTGACCCATCTCAGCCTGATCCAGGTGCCCAAAACTCACCCGACTCTCCTTCCGCTCCATCAGGCTTGCTAGGTCCCAGGCAGGCAGCACTGCCAGGGACCACCTGGTGAGAGTCACTGTTAACATTTACATCTCCAGTGGAATCCTGATGCTTTAAAGGCCAGAGACTGAGGTGAGTTAATGCAAACACTCTGGCAAGCTAGCAAGAGAGTTTTGATTTTGACTTTTTTTTTTTTTAATGCTAAAAAGGTCTGTTGTTTTGGTTGGGGTTTCTTAGGGCCAATCCTGGACCACTGCGGGTGAGTGGCTATGTAACCTGTAGATTGCTTATTACAATTTACAACTCCCGATACAAACCATGTGCATGCTTGTTGATGATTTGAGGATACTCCCTTGCCCAGGAAGCCTGAGTAGTGGGGGATAGTTTAAGGATTAACCCTGGGTCAGGTTTCTTGAGAAGATTATAGAGCAGCCTGATTTATCTGGGAGAAGCCACCCAGAGGGGACCCCAAGCATTGGGTGGGGACAGTCTCCTTTCCTGCAGGAGGGGCTGTGATGGAAGGCAGAGCAAAAAAAGCAAGGTGGTGGGGTCCTCCTGTAGTTTCACTTAGAAAGAGGGAGGTGGAAGACCTTAGGAAGGGGTCCTGGGAAGTAAATGGAGCAGCAGGTCTCCTTATCCTCCCACCGCCAAGCAGGTTTATGGTTGACACGTCAAGGATAACTTCCATAAACGTCTCTGTACTCTGTGACAAGGAAAAAATGTTGTCCAGTGGTTGCAAGCGTGAAGTCAGATCACACCCGTGTTGAAAACAAGACAATGGGCCCCCAAACGGAGTCACTTATGCTAAGCCCCACATCACCAAACTGAGACTTAATTACAGTTTTGCCTCTCCCAGAAAGGCAACTTAAACCAGCCAGTCAGGAATCACCTGATGAGTACTAGTTAGTAACCTGCCTGATAAACTCCCTCGACCGAACTCCCTTCTGCCTATAAAAGTCTTTCATTTTGTAAAGCTCCCGTGGAACCCTTTCCATCGGCTAGATTGGACACAGTCCGATTCTAAGATGTTTAAAAGGCCTCAGTTGATCTTTTAATACCCTGGCTTCTCCTTTTAAGGTATATAGGTCCAGGTAAATCACTTAGACTCAAGTTCAGTTTCTTCATCTGCAAAATGGAGATAATAGAACCTCACCTACACGCCTACTCATCAAAGGAGGAAAAAATGTGAAGCACTGTGAGCACGCACAGGTACTCAATGAAGGCTAAAGGCAGCCTAGGTACTCAAAGCCACCAGGCCCAGTGGTGCTGTAGAAGGTCTGACACCCTCATAAATGGTCAGAGAGCTACAGCCCAATGGGTAGAGTGCTCGCCACAGACTCTGCTGTGCCACTGGTGGTTAAGAAATACAGGCTTTAGTTAAAAATAGATCTGCCCTACGACCCAGCAATTGCACTGCTGGGGATTTACCCCAAAGATACAGATGCAGTGAAACGCCGGAACACCTGCACCCCGATGTTTCTAGCAGCCATGTCCACAATAGCCCAACTGTGGAAGGAGCCTCGGTGTCCATCGAAAGATGAAGAAGATGTGGTCTACGTATACAATGGAATATTCCTCAGCCATTAGAAACGACAAATACCCACCATTTGCTTTGACGTGGATGGAACTGGAGGGTATTATGCTGAGTGAAGTAAGTCAATCGGAAAAGGACAAACATTATATGGTCTCATTCATTTGGGGAATATAAAAATTAGTGAAAGGGAATAAAGGGAAAGGAGAGAAAATGAGTGAAAATATCAGTGAGGGTGACAAAACATGAGAGACTCCTAACTCTGGGAAATGAACATGGGGTAATGGAAGGGGAGGTGGTGGAGGGATGGGGTGACACGGTGATGGGCACTGAGGGGGGCACTTGGCGGGATGAGCACTGGGAGTTATGTTATATGTTGGCAAATTGAACTCCAATTTAAAAAAAGAAAAAAATAAGAAAATACAAGCTTTAAAATATCTGGAGGGCCGGCAGTTCTCAGCAGTGGCTGGCATTGCCCTGCCCTAGAAAACGCTGCCCTGCTCCTTCCCTACTCAGCAACTTTATGGCCAAGAGACTTGGCCACAGTAGAAATGGCCGTTGTGCCTCGGGCCCTTCTCCAAGCCCAGATGTCAGAGCTCTCAGGCCTGGGGCATGTCAGGTTTCTTGTGTTTTGTATTTTTATAAAAGGCCTTTACTAGCAGGACTCCCAGATACCAAGCTGACACCCAGGAAAGAAGGGGCGTCTCCCCTACCCCGGGGGACAACCTGGCCCAGAGCACAAAGATACTATTTATTCTATAAGGTCCTGGAACAAAGCCCGATTGATTCATCTCAAGAATAATAAAGTTCTAACAACAGAAGGGCCTCAGCCTGCCATCTGCAGTCAGTGCTTACAACTGGAATGGCTCTTTCATGCACACAACATAATCTGAGCCACACGTTCTTCCCATTTTACAGATGGAGAAAGGGAGATCTCAGCTGGATACAATTTTAGCATCAGCACTTGCAGCCCAGGTACTCAAACTCAGTCCGGCCATCTCGGGCAGGAGGGTTGGGGGTCACACAGCAGTTATAAAAACCAGGGCAGGGCACTGGACAACCAGGATGGCGGGGGGGGGTGGGGGGGGTGGGGGTGGGGGGAGTTCTAGGATGTAACTGGAGAGTCTTCTCTTCCAGAGAAAATAGAAACTGGAGGTCGGTGTCTATCCAGGTTCAGCAGGAGACGGAAATCCCCGTGCAGTCTGTGAGATGTGTTCATCAAAGCTCAGAACAACATACCGTAGCTTCCTCCTAGGAGATGTCTATTTTTAACACCTTACCTCAAAAGGAATCTCTTCTACAGGGCAGTGAGTCTAGATCCTGGAGCGAAAAAAATAATAACCATTCCAAGACATCCCCATTAATCGTGCCTCGCCTGGGTAGTGTTAGCCACACCAGTGTCCAGTATCCCAGCAGCCTTCCACCTTCTATGAGCCAACAAGGTGGAGGAGGGAGGCCACAAGGCGATGGAAATACTTAGCTCAGCAGAGTGGTTCACCTGGGAAATGGCCTCAAAAACGTGTCAAAAGGTAGCTCTCTGCAGTGAGTTCTCCTGTGTCGTTCCTACCAACACCATTCAGATACACGGAATATCCGCTCACCTAAGCAAATGCTTTGGGGCTTAGATGTTTTATAGTGACCCATTCTAAAGTCAGTTACACAGCAGTCACTGAGCCAATTGGAGAAGCGCACTGTACCCCGGAAACTAAGCCCTTACTGAGCCTCATACGTGAATGGCACCTAGGACTTCGGCTTGGGTGTGGGGGGAGGGGGGACAAACTACCTCGTTTTCTGCAAACTAAGTAAACCACACCAAAGTGACCAGTCTGGTGATCAAGCCAGAGTGCCACTCCACCACAGCAGCAGGACTATGGTTAGCTCCAGGATTACGTGAACCCCAGGGCTGAAGGGCAAGGAGGCATAAGAGAAATCCTGCCTTTGGGCCGGGTACTGCAAGCTCTCACACCGATCCCCACCCCGAGTGGCAAGCCACGGAGGCAGCGACTAGCTGGCTTGAAAGAGGCCCCAGGGGGATCCCTGTGTGGCTCAGCGGTTTGGCGCCTGCCTTTGGCCCAGGGCGCGATCCTGGAGACCCGGGATCGAGTCCCACGTTGGGCTCCCGGCATGGAGCCTGCTTCTCCCTCCTCCTGTGTTTCTGCCTCTCTCTCTCTCTCTATCATAAATAAATAAAAAAATCTTTAAAAAAAAAAAAAAAAGAAAGAAAGAAAGAAGGAAGCCCCGGCCTGGGTGGAGGGGCAGCAGCGCCCCTTCCGGGCCCCGCAGAATGAGAGGTCCCTTCCAGTTGCCCCGGAACACACCCCCCTACAGCAGAGGCCTCCAGAACACGCCCCTCTGCCTCCCCAAGGCCCTACCAGAGGTCAGTCGCTCGCCCCATTTGCACCTGCCGAGGCCCACAGGTGACGAAACACACCCCACCTGTCGGCCTATGCGATTGTATTTAAGGCCGCCGACAACTTCCGGACAAACCCCTCGACCTGCTCTGAAAATGCGCCCCCGGGCCCTCCCGAGGGGAGCTGCCTGGGCCAAGGGGCGTCCGGGCAAGGGCAAGGCTCCGCGCCGGGAGCCGCCAGCCGGGCAGGGCCACTTTCGCTCAGTAACGGTCGCGGGAGCCCCGCGCTGGCCCGGCGGGCGGAGGCGATGGGCACGGCCGACCACGGCCCACGGCCCGCAGCCCGCAGCCCGCAGCGTGGCCCGGCGCCTAGTTCCGTGGAGGCGCGTGCGGCCCGGGGTTAGGTTTAGCTGAAGTCCCCTCCCGCGGGTCGGATTCCCTGCCCCCGGCACCCCCCCACCCCAAGAGCAGCCGCTTCTGGTCCCCAGCCCGCCGGCGGCCCTCGGCCCCGACAAGAGGGCCACGCTCCCCCCAGGTCCCCTCCAAAATAACCGGACTCTCCGTGCTTACATTTTCATGACACTCGAGGGAAAGCAGTCACGGTTCCTTTGGCTGGCCCGGGCAAGCAGACCCGGGGGATGGCTCCCCGCGCCCAGGCTTGGCAGAGGCCGAGCAAGGCGGCGCGGCCGGCGGGGGCCACACAGGAGCGAACCCCGGGCGCCTTCGCCTCCCGCCGCGGGGCTCCGACCACCTCTGCCTGGGCCTGGCGCCCACGCGGTCTCCCAGAGAGGCGCACAGCCGCGCCTGTCCTTCGGTTCCGGAGAGGCTGATGGAGGGGAGGAATCTGCATGTTGCCACCCAAAGGTCTCACTCCTGCAAAGCTCAAAGAGAGTGTGAGCCCCCGCGTGACCTGGCAGAGGTTTGGAAAAGGCTATAAGGGCGCCCCCACGGCCGTGGGTTCCAGATCTCAGTGGGTGGACGAGTGTAGACAGCGTATACAGGAAGAAGGTCAACAGGAGCAGCCGGTTTCAGACCCTATGTCCTGCCAAGCTCGGTGACCGGGACCTGGCAAGTTAGCGGACCAGCCTAGATGCTCAAGGGTTGGCTGCCTGCCTGAGGGAATTCTGATCTGCCCTGGGGATGGCCCTTTCCCATGCGGACGGGACCACGGGAAGGCTATGCAACAATTAAACAAATCCAAAGTGATGGGTTTGTTAAACACACCTGTGCCAGGACCCATGTCTTGAGGTTGATTTAGATGCTCATCTGGGGCCTGGGCATCTGTATTTTAGTAAGCTAGATAGACTGAATATCTATTTGTTGTGATCTCCCAACAAATCGCACAGCTTCTACCCTTGCAAGCAAAGCGCCGGTGTGCAGTGTTTGCCGTAGGTGTTACGGCCACACCCAGAAACCGCTCCGTGTAGGATGCAGTGGAATGTCTTTGCCCCACCTGAGGTCTACCTGTTTCACTCCCATGGCCTCCTTGGTCTCTCCTCTGTAACACTCCTTGTGCTTGTGAGGACTTCATTCATGCAAGTACTTACTGAGCGTGTACTCTGTAGCAGGTACTTTTCTAGACTAAGAGGGAAAGTGCTCTCCTGTACCTTTAATTCTATTGAGGATGAGAGGTGGGAGAGAGAGAGACGGAATGGCGATAAGCTGACAAGCCAGCTAATACCAGAGACTGTTAGATACTATGAAGAAAATGCAATAGAGACTGCATGGCAAAGGGTGGAGGGATATGATGTAGGGAAATCAAGAATGGCCTCTAAGGAGGGGACATGTAAATAGAGATCTAACTGGTAAGAGGAGGGAAACCACACAAAGACAAAGGGCAGTGGTTCTCCCAGAGCAGTGTCAGCATCACGGGAACCGGTTAGACATGCAGATTCTCAGGATTCAGTCCAGACCTCCTGAATCCCAAATTCTGAGAGTGGGCCCCGGCAGTCTGGGTTTGAACAAACTCTCTGGATGATTCTTATACACACTACAGTTTGGGACCCACTGATGTCAGGGAAGAACATTCCAGGTGGAGGACTCTATGCACAACAGGGATCTATGGTTTTGCTCACCGCTAGAATCCCCAGCCACATGTGCTACCACATGGCAGGAAGCCAATATATAATTCTGACTGCTTGCTCTTAGAAATACGTCCCAGCCCCTAGAGCCCAGATAAAAATCACAGAAAGATATAAATTGCAAAAATGTTATGTTCAGGGGCACCTGGGTGGCACAGCTCGTTAAGTGTCTGGGTCTTGGTTTCAGCTCAGGTCGTGATCTCACGGTCGTGAGATGGAGCCCCCTGTTGCGGAGTCTGCTTGAGATTCTTTCTCTCTCTCCCTCTGCCCCTCCTGCTCCCTCTCAAATAAATTAAAAAAAAATCTTTTCTTAAAATGTTATATTCCTCAAACTTCAGCAAAAGCACCCACCAAGGAAGTGAGGAAGGTCATTTTGAATCCAGGTGGCCAGAACTTCTCAGAAAGTGAGAAGCTTTCTGTAGTGCTTGAAAACTGCCAGCCGCTAACACTGACTTTTCCCAATCTAATAAAACTTGGCATCACAAAGTTGGCAATTAGATTTCCTGTAAAAGGCTAAATGCGGTGGCCTTCTGCTTCCTGATTCTGAAACTCGGTAAGAAAGGCATTAGTGTGTGGCAGCTGGGATAATCATTTAATTGATCTTTTCCACCCATAGAAGCCTCCCTTCTCTGCTCCAACCCACTGAATTGTAAATCAATGTCACCTTCATTGTGAGCATGAAAAGGAAGGAAAAAACACAGCTCTCCCCAAACCAAATTGGAGTCAATTTCCTAATGGGGCCTCGGTAAGACTCTAAATGGGTGCTGCCATTTCTCCCCCTCTGGCCTCCTCCTGGGCCACCCACACAGCTCCATCAGGGCCAGTGGCAGTTCCAGTGACATGCAAAGCAGGAAACAAGGGGCTTCCTATGGTAGGATCTCCATAACAGAAAGGGCTTGGATTCTGTTGTCAGCCAGGCAGGATTCAAACCCCCAAACTGGACAGTATTTCGAAAGCATCTAGAAAGGTGTTGGGAAATGTAGGAAGGGGTCTAAAAATCATATTTCTTCTCCTTCCCCCCATTATTGTTGTATATAATTTCATTCACGGGTCTAACAAATATTTACAGTGCCTGTGCACTATGGGCCCTCACTGGGGGATACAGAGTGATGAGCGTCACAGACATGGAGCTTACTGTCTTGTGGGAGTGACAGACATTAATCATATAAGGATGTCAAATAAAGACATAAAAAGATGTCAGAGGGCAATTGTGGCAAAAGCTGTAAAGATGAGTACCTGACACCGTGAGCCTATAATGGGGTTATTCAATCTATCTAGCTTATTAAAATACAGATGCCCAGGCCCCAAATGAGCATCTAAATCAACCTCAAAACATGGGCCCTGGCACAGGTGTGTTTATTTTTTTTTTAATTTTTATTTATTTATGATAGTCACACACACAGAGAGAGAGAGAGAGAGAGGCAGAGGGAGAAGCAGGCTCCATGCACCGGGAGCCCGATGTGGGATTCGATCCCGGGTCTCCAGGATCACGCCCTGAGCCAAAGGCAGGCGCCAAACCGCTGCACCACCCAGGGATCCCCCACAGGTGTGTTTAACAAACTTCACAGACGTTTCTCATTGTTGGGAGTTGGGGTTACAGGCAAGTGGCAGGCGGGGTGGGGGGCAGAATGATCCATGTGGTAAGTGATGGAGCTGGAAACACTATATAAATTATAAGCTAAGTTTATAAACTAAACGATGATATAGTTTAGCGGTATAGACTATATACTAGTTTATCTTGATATAATATTTGTAGATATGGGTATATACATCGATTAGTATGCACACCTTTATCTCTTCATTTTGCCAACGATAAAGATCTAAAAAAAATGACACCCACTAGGAACAAGCACATTCAGTGGCCATATCTTGGTTTCTAATACCAATCTCCAATATAAGGAACCGGGGATCCTCAGAGAAACGGATTCTTGGACTGAGATGGGAAATATTCAAAATGAGTCTGGAGCACTTATGGTGCCAGAGAGTAAAGATGTGTGCCCATGCCCAACATTGATGGCAGTATGTCAAGGAAACACAGGAGCTATCCGAAAGAGCTCCCAGTGGCCAAAGCTAGAACGATTTAGGCAACAAAGTGGTATTGGATTAAAACCCCAAATCTGAAACAGATATTCATGAGTTCATACTGGTACAGGTTAAGTGACTGACTGAGTGAATGAATGGATGAATAGATAAATAAATAGAATAAAAAGATTTCCAAATAATTTATGTAGATATTCTGTTCTTAAGGAAGTAGAGTATGAACTGCCACTCTTTGAGTGTGGGCTGCCCAGAGAACAGTATGGGAAGGCGGCAAAGGGTAACTTTGTAGGAGTGAAACCTGACAAATCCCATGTCAGCCAGATGGGTCCAGATGAACCTCACCATAGATAAGTCATGTGGATGGCATGCACCCCTGATAAGGTGCATTTTGCATCTCTGGTTCTTCCCTCCAAAACCCACAGTCCCAGTCTACTCATGACAAAAGCACGAGACAAATCTCAGGGCGGGGAGCGGGGGTTGGCATTCTACAAAATACCTGACCAATACTCCTCAAAACTGTCCCAAAGCATCAAAACAAGGGATGTTTGAGAGACTATCACAGCCAAGAGGAACCTAAGGAGATAGGACAACTAAACCTAACATG